GGCGACGTGATCCCTCCGACGACCTTGAACAGCCCAGATTTGTGAAGCCCAGCAAGTTTCGTGGTGTTATTTTTTGTTCCGGCAACATTCGAGGTTGACCCACTCTTGCTTTAGCCAAATTCATGTTACCCACTCCCTCGGCATTGTTTCGACGTTGACCCACTCCTAATCCAAGAGGTTTTAGTGTGAGTTAGTAGGTAACGACTCACCTAAACTTAGTTTCGAAGTAAATTAAGTGTTTTTGAGCTGGCTTCTAACTCAAAATTGGTTGCTTTGATTTAGGGAATCCTTCGACGAGATTAGTGGTGTGTTAGGACCCGTGTGGTAAGTAGTTTCTTACTTGAGGGATTGGTTGTTGTGTGCTCATATGAATTGGCTGTTTGCTCGTGTGCCTATGTGTGATATTTGCATGATTGTTTGTGGTTGTATCATTTAGTAAACGTCATTGCTGATATCGTTGCTGATATAATTGTTGATATATCCTATAAATACAAGTGGTTGTGTGAATAAATTGTAAACACATAATCTTGGATGACTATGTTGAATTTGTTGTTATGTTCTTAAAATTGTGTTAGTTGTTCTCGTACTATAATTTGTTATTTTGAAAGCATACTGAATATTTGTGAGAAACCTGTTGTGTTGAAGTATGCTGCATATTTGTTAAATATATATTGATTAAGTTGTTGGTTGTGCCTCTTTTGTGAACTATACACGTTGTAGTTTGTTGGATCAAGTTGGGCTATTTTATGTTGATTGGTATTTACGTATGTTTGTTTTCTGTATATTGCATACTGGACTGTTATGAGATGATTGTTGCATGGATCATAGCTTAGTAGTATGTAGGACTCTGGTGAGAGCGTAAGTTCTTTATGAAGTGAATGGGTGAGTTTCAGGGCCAGGGGCTGATACGTCACTTATTGGGTATCAAGGCTCCGGGTACAAAGGTCGGGGATCGATACGCTAATTTTGGATAAAGATGAGTGTCGATGCCTTAGTTATGCGTGGTTAGGGGTCGACGCAGTGAGTCTTCGTGGAAGACAAGTATTGGGGCTTTGAGAGGAAAAGGACAAGGGGCAATATGTTGCAAAGTCATCGATGCCTTAGCTATGCATGGTTAGGGGTTGGTGCAATAGTTTGAGGCCTTGGCTATGTGTTGTCAAGGGTAGAACGCCAAACGCTGTAGAGAAGTGTCGATGCCTTGGTTATGCGTGGTCAGGGGTCGGTACGACTCGAAGGAGTAAGTCTTGGAGGTAAAGGAAAGAGAACTACTGAGTTTAGAGAAGTGTTGATGCCTTGGCTATGCGTGGTCAGGGGTCGGTACGACTCGAGGAGTAGGTCTCGGAGGAACAAGAAAGAGAACTAGTGAGTTTAGAGAAGTGTTGATGCCTTGACTATGCGTGGTCTGGGGTCGGTACGACTCGAAGGAGTAAGCATTTGAGAAACAGAAAAGCAAACTAGTGAGTTGAGGTGCGAGGATGAGTTGGCATGTAAGTTGCATGTTTAAATATATTTATATTTTTATTATGTGACGCTTGTTTAGGGAGGAGGGGTACGTGAATGAACCGATACCACATCCGAATGAGAGGGATCCTGAGATCATGGAAGAATGGTCAAGAAAGGCTTAAAAGAATTGATAGTCACTACCTATACCAACCAGGTGCACCTTCCTTTTCGGTAGCTCAATCGTAAGAACTCCAAAATTAAGTGTGCTTGACTTAGAGCAATCTTTGGCTGGGTAACCTCCTAGATGCTTTACTAGGAAGCATGTGAGTAAGGACAAAACATGCTGAAAGGACTCGTGTTAGTTTGTAGGGATAGTTTACGCTCTTCTAAGTAGTTTAGAACTAGACGGTGGCGCGGCCGGGTCTTAGGGGATGTAGGGGAATGCCGGGACGATTAGGACCAAATCCGGATTCCGAATCTTGGTCCTAGGGCGTTACAGGCGCACCGACCTTCCCCTCGACCCTATGACTCCTTGCAGTGGTAGCAGACCCATGACTTGAAGGCAGCGAGTGGCCCATGACCAGCGGCTCCCCTGTACGACGGTGACTAGCGGTACCAATAGATTTGCGACATCGAGACCTGCGACATTCAGATTCAAGCGACGATCTCTCCACTACGACGATGTTCAGCGATGACCCATACCTGAATTACTCTAAATCTGAGAAACCCCCACCTTGATCGGGGGTCATATTTGTACTGCCAAACATTTTTAACATCAACCCGGCAAGGAGGCAAGCTGTTTTTGGTGTGGGTCTGTAGGTAACGGCTCGTTTGAACCCTAATTCTATTTCAATTAAGTGGTTCGATTGGATTAACTCTAAGATTTGTCTCTATGTTTTAGGAACCAATTGATTAAACCTTAATTCTGTTTCAAGTGGTTCGATTGGATTAACTCTGAGATTTGTCTCTATGTTTTAGGAACCAATTGGTTAGAGCTTAAGAGCGCGCTAGGACGTTGTAAGTAGCTCTTATTTGTGGGGATGTATGCTGGTTGTTCCGTTTGGATTGCATTCTTGTGCTTATTGTGTAGATATCATAATTTCTTTATGATGTCGAACAGCATGTTGGATACCTTGTCGATTGGTTCTGGTTGATTGAATGTGTATTGTAAAGAATGTAAAGTAGGCTGGATATTTTACTGTTGTTGCATTTTGGTTTGGCTGTAATTAATTGTTGCTGTGCTGACATTGTTAAGATGTGAGCATGAAAGCATGTGTTAGGATCTATGTGTGAGATTTGGGGAAGTTGTGAATTTTAGAAATATTGTGGAGAAGTTGAATTAAGTGGATGAATATTAAGGTCTCGGGTAAAAATGGTTGAGGGCTAATACATCACTATTGGGTGTTGAGGCTTTGGGTAAAACTAGTCGATGATTGATGCAATGAGTCTAATTGGAGGAAAGTATTGGGGCATTGAGTTAAATGGTTGAGGGCCAATAAGCTTCATAGTCATCTAGGCTTTGGGTAAAGAAGGTCAAGAGCCGATGCAAGAAATCGAAGAAGAAGGCTTCATAGAAGACACTGAACCAGAGAGCTACACATCTAGCAAACCATTTTGGGAGGAGGGTTTAAAGTTTTTTTAGAAGAAGAAAATGTGGACCAACTCAAGAAGAGATTAGGAAAGGAATTCATAATCTATTTGAAAGTTAAGTTTCAGAGTTTGGCAACCTTCAAGATATATAGCACCAAGCACCAAAGAAGTTATAAAAGCCACCCATTTTAATCACAGATAACGGGGAAGGCAAGTAGATGGTGAAAAAGGAAAAGCAGATAGTGAGCAGAGCAGAAGGAAGAGGGACAACCTCCTCTCTAACAGCCCCCCACCCCCCATCTAATTTTCCAATTTTAAAGGAGATGGTGGAATGCTCAAGGGAAAACGATGTGGGTGAGACTAATCCCAAAAAAGAACAACGGGGTAGTAAGGGAATAGTAGAAGGTAATTTATTTGAATATTAGATGCCTGGGTTCAAAGGTGAAGTGTAGAGTCATCAAAGATCTGTTAAAATCTAGTAATCTAGATATAGTTATCCTTCAAGAATCCAAACTTCCCATCGTCAGTAGATAAATCGCTAAAGAAGTTTGGAGCTCCAGATTAGTAGATAAATCGTTAAAGAAGTTTGGAGCTCCAGATTTGTTGGCTAGGTGACGTTAGAGTCTATAGGAGCTAGCTCCTGCAGGCATTCTTCTGATGTGGAAAGAGAAAATAGTGAAAGCTTTAGAGATGTGAGGGCTTGTTTCTCCATTTCAGTTTGGTTCGAGATAGATGACAATTCCAAAGGGTGGGTAACCAGTGTGTATCGTCCGGTTCCCTATAGGGAAAGGAAAGATTTTTGGAAAGAGCTCGGAGACCTTCAAGGGCTGTGAATTGGAGGAGATTTTTACGTAGCTAGTAGGATTGAAAACAAAACCTTCAAGGGGAGAATTAGAAAAGTATGAAAGCCTTCAATGCTTTGATACAAGACAGTAGTATCAGTGAAGTTGATTTGTTCAATGATTTTTTCACTTGATCAAATATGAGAGAAGAGCCCTTGTTCTCCAAACTAGATCCCTTTTTCGTCTCCAAAAGCTGGCTAGACATATTCTTTGAGGTTAAAGCCTTGAGGCTTCAACAAACTCCCTCTTATTATTTCCCTATTCTTTTACGATCAAGTGATTTCTTTCGGGGTTCGAGCCCTTTCAGATTTGAGGATATTTAGCTCAATCACCATTCTTTCTATCAAACCTCAAAATATGGTGGAATGAGAGCCCAAGCAGCGGATGGGTTAGCTACAACTTCATGATTAAACTCCAGAACTTCAAAGAGAATCTCAGAAAGTGGAATAAGGAGGTCTTGGAGACATTAGGGAAGAAAAAGCCACCTTGGTCTCTTAAATAAACTACCTAGACATTTTGGAAGAGTTCTCACCTCTAAATGAAGTTCAAATAAGAGAGAGAGCTAAGTTTAAAGCTCTTTTGTCTGATGTGATTCTTAAAGAACAACGTATATGTGGTCAGAAGTTAAAGCAAAGTGGATGAAGGAAGGGTGACCGAAATTCTAAGTTCTTCCACAGATGGGCCTCCCTTTGAAGCAGTAAGAACTCCATTTCAATCCTTATGAGTAGAGGGAATATGCAGCTTTCAAAGCAAGCACAAAATCCTTTGCTTCTTTTCTTCCCTTTACAAAGGAAATGCAAACCAGAGGTTTGTTCTTGAGGAACCTTTTTGGTGGTCCATTAGCAGTACTTCACCAACTTGGTTAGAGAGTCTTTCAAGATATAACAATCTTAAATGCTATTTATGCAGTAAAAAAGCCCCGGGTCCTTATGGCTTCACAGGCGAATTTTTTAAAAAGGCTTGGAACACTACCAAAGCCGACTTGATCATGGTGTTCCATGAATTCTCGAAAATGGTATCATCAACAAAAGGACTAACGATACCTATATCAGCCTCCACCTAAAGAAAAGGGAGTGTTAAAAGGTAAATGAGCTTAGACCCATAAGCCGTACTATCTCCCTGTACAATATAATAGCAAAAGTGTTTACTAAAAGAATGAGAAAAGTTCTCCATGAAACAATTGATTCCTCCCAAATGACATTTGTAAAGGAAGGCAAATTCTAGATGTGATCCTCCTCTCTATGGAAACAGTGGATGACTACTTAACCAAGAAGAAGAACGGGAATGCCATTAAAATAGATTTTGATAAAGCTTATGACAAAGTTGATTGGGACTATCTTGACTTTGTTTTGCACCTCAAAGGCTTTGGAGAGAGATGGAGATAGTGGATGGTTTGCACCTAAAAGGCTTCAGAGAAAGATGGAGACAGTGGATGAATGGTTGTGTATC